TTCCCAGCTTCACGCATAAATGATTTTTCTGCGCAGCACAAGTACATAGGGCGGAATTGATGCATAGTGGCAAGTGGCACGCTTACCACGCGAGCGGTCCGGGGATCAAATCCTGGGTCGTGAGTCGCCCGGGCCAACCAAGCCTTCCATCCCTCCGGGGTCGGTTAATTGGTACCAGACTTGTCTGGGAGGATAAAAACACTGACTTGTACATCGGCTGGCCCCCGCAAGTCATTGTATAGGCCACATCGCATTCAAATGCCACTACGAATGTGAATGGAAGTAGAATGCGTGCCGCATCCCAAAAAGGGATTGATCAACGGCCGAATGCTTTGTCCTTTATCTTCAGTACGAGTTCGTATTATTATAATGACAACATATAAAATAACTACTAATAGGATGAAGACAAAAGACATGTTGTTGCAATGGTCACCGAAACGCCTTCAGCGATGGTTAGCTCGTGAAAACAATGGGGAAAAGAAAAATCCGAGATACTTTGCGCGCACCTGTATCAAACCTTCCTTCATATGCGAGTCGTCCTTCAAACAGTTCCAAATCTAAAAGTTCCAGAAAGCATTCTAAGGATGGTTTTTGGCCCACTGCAGTATTTCCTCCGGACTCTAAGTAACTTATCTTGAAGCTCCTTTTAACATAAATGAGTTCTTGTCGGGAATAACACGGATTGCAGCCCACATCATCTCAGAAGAGGATTAACGGATATGAGAATCGCCAGAGAAATCCCACGTGTACTATTGACGTGAAGGGCATCAGTTCATCCTAATGCTCTTACGGGGAAACAAAGAGCAAGAGAAGCTTCTCAAGCCACTTCAACTCCCGTCACCATCGCAACGGTCGCAACAGTCTTAAGGGGCAAGGTTTAAATGAACTCAAATAAAATTTAGAGGAATGTGAGGTTTCTAACCGTAAATGCCCGAATTCTTGCCTACACTAGCTTCCCACCTCGTTTCCTGGGCTCCGGAACGTTTACAGTTTCCGGCGCTATCACTGAATATGGGGCATTGTTGTGGCAACGCATTCAGAAACACCTGAACAATCTACTCTTAGTTAGAAATGGGGCTAAATCTTAGAAGAGAGTGGAGAGAAGCTAATGATTTCCAAATGATTTTCAATTCCCCCGAAGTTTCTAGCCCTTTCTGGGCTTGGTTCTAAAGGGTGCCCCTGTATCTTGCGATAGCGCCCACCTTTCTAGATTTACTTTTTCTCATTCTACTGTGGTTCGGGCCTTTGAGGGCGAGTCCATCTTCACTTCCTCCATGCCTGCAGTGCAACATTATCGTGTTCTTGGTTTACAGAAATGGTTTAAGGTAGAGACATGGACCAGGTTACAGGGTAACTCACACTGGGGCAAACCCATAAACACCTCTGTGGGGTTACCGAAAACTCACGGGCACTTGCTTTTGAACGTCTAAAGACTGAAACTGAATCGGAGTGTCCGGAAGTCCAGTTGCAGTACATTCCATCCAATCAATTCAATTCAATCAATACAGTTCTTGTAAGGGTTCCCTCGAAATCACTACCACGTTAATGATATTTGAATACGTCGGTATTTGGCGTCTTGGTTTCCTTTCTTATCGTACGGCAACAACATTGCCGTCCGTTATCTTGGTCTCTGTGTTTCCGGTTTTCCTGTGCTCTCTGGCCACTTTCTGGCCTGTCAGCCATTGCTTGTCTAGCCGCCTCCACGATTACCAAAGTACCTCCGCGTACCCGGCTGATAAGATAAGTTCGCCCAGGTGTTGATGATATGGAGAGTGGATCACGCCGCAAACAGCTGCGACCTGCACGAGTGAACGACGACGACGAGCAGCAGCCATCTACTCCTGTCGCCTCCGTTCTACAATCTACCGTAACATCACCAAACCGAATGAGTTCGTCCAATGGTCGACCACCGTCGGCAACGACACCAGCCAGCCGATGTTCGTGAACAACGTCAAGTTCGAAGTGGACGAGGATGAGGCTCCCACTGGCATCGAAATGATGTCCGGCGAGACCCGTGGTCCGTTTCCGGTCAAGGAACTCAGAATGTCCAACAGTGAGGCCGAGTTTGCGATCACGGTAGGTGAAAATTCTTGTCCAACTTTCTTTCGTTCTCTCAATGATGAGCAAACATCCCTGTGTTGTTTGTTTATTTATTTGTTTATTATTAATTCTAGTCTTCGAGAAAATGCTTTCAGTTAGTCGATCAAATGGGCAACAAACACTATTTCGACGTGGATTCCATAGATCCGCTGATAAAAAGGATTAAACCCTGCCCTAACGCACTCGAAGCGAACTGTATTCTTTTTCATGTCGGTGAGACACTTTTTATTTCTCTGCTTAATATTTCTTATTATTTTCCGCATACTTTTTATTTCTCTATTGACTTCTGGGAGGAACTGTGGCACTCCCTGCACCAAGACAGTCCAGTCCAATCGAGTGTTGCAACCCTTTCGGGGTCAGCGAGCTGATAATTGAGAGGGGCAACGCCAATAGCTCCTTTGTACCCACGAGTGGTTGTGTAGACCAGATCCGAGTCACGTTGATATTAATCTTTGCATAAGTTCTCGGATTGGGCTCGAAAAAGCAATATTTATCAACCTTAAAATGATAAAATCATAAGGAATTATTCGTTGTTCAATCCCTTTTGTAGGATGCGCCACGCATTCTACTTCATTTAGTATCATAAAGGGCGTTTTGAATGCGATGTGGCCGCTCAGAATTGCGGGGGCCAGCCGATGTACAAGTCAGTGTTTTTTCCTGGGACAAATCTGGTATCACTTGACGAATCCCAGAGGAAGAAGGCTCGGTTGGCCCGGACGAAAAATGCCCAGATTTGATCCCCGGACCGCGCGCGCGTAGTGGGCAGCACCACTGTCGGCCTTTGATCAACCATAAGGTAAGAAACAGAACACAACTGTTTTGGACAACCGTGTTTGGCAGCAGCTTCGAAACCGCGCCCACAGAAACCGAATTGAAATTTTGGCGTTAACATCCCTGACTAAAGGAACGCATCATGATCCAGATGAAGATCCATGAGTAACAAGCCGTGAGCCTTCATGAGTGTCCTCTGATATAAGATACAAATACAGCAGTACTCCAGACTTGTTATTGGGTGCTTTATGCTTTTTCCACGCGGTTTGTGGGTGGGAACCTTATTATGGCCAACGTGTCGACCTTCACGTCGTTATTGAAGGCCTAAAAATGGCTTGAGTCCCATCAAACGTTTCATTCCTTCTAGCATTTCTGACCTCATCCCAGGAACGCAAGGAATTGCACAGTACTTGGAACATAAGCTCAGCTCCAGGTTAACCGCAGGAGTGTGGAATATCACTCAATTAGTATCAGTATCAAAATGGATCTACAGTATCCCAGACTGATCACAAGCTAAGCTCACAAGCTGCTTAAAAAATTGAAGTCTCTGGTCTGAGCGATAGGGGTACGGCGCGGCGGGTTTTGCCAAGTTTATCGGTTCCACGTGGGTGGTCGGCACACCCGTGTTTCGAAGCGC